TTGCCAAAAATTAAAAAAAAGAGAGAAAAGCAACTGAGCACTGAGTATATCTTATATTCCCATGAATATCTGTGTAAAAAGAAAAGATATCAATTAATTTTGTCAAAATATTTGATGAAGATATTCAAAAAAGTGTTGGTCTAAACAAATTTTATAACAGGAATATGATTCAGGAAGGGTTATCATTACCTTTCCTAAGAAGAATAGAGACAAAAATACTAAATACAAATAAATAGATCTTGATGTGATAGAAGTAATATCAAAATGTCATAGGGTGTTTAGGAAGTGACTTTTTGAAGAAGGATACATTCGATGATGGTAGGTAAAAGAGAAATTGATACACCAAATATATAAAATTCAGTAATGATTTTTAATTGAGTACAAGGGTACTTGAGAAAATGATACTAATGTTGTTCTAGTTTTCATATACTTTGAAAGAATATTTAAACAGAATATTTAACTAGACATGTATAAATAATATTTATTTATTCAATAAGGTATATATGTCATATTCAGATGCATTTATAAACTCCGTAAGTTTAAAATATCTATATCCTTTGGTGTTATTAAGCGTAAATTTATTTTTATAGAAATTTTATCAATATTTATATCTAAAATTTTTTAAATATCTAAGCTATTACTCTGGAAAATTTGAAAAATTGGCCAATGAAGAAAGAGAAAGAAAAAACTATGACACTTACAGGAGGACCTTTTGGTCCAGGGAATCCAACTGGACCCTGAGGTCCTTGAGGCCCCTGAAAAGAAAAAAGCAGTGGGGAAATTTAAGAATATGCTTTAACAGACACATCTTTATACTTTTTAGTTTATTTCTACAGATAAAATGCAAAATCGAATACAGCTCCTTTACCATAATGGCAGAACTATGGCAACACAACAAGATAACCTATGTTAATCTAAAAGCAAAATGGATGATTTTTCACACTATTCAGTACTCAAAACTGCACATCCCATCACTGGTCTTAGCTCAAGAACACTGTAAATATTTAGAATTCATATTAAAAGTGAATAGAACATAGATGTATCAAGGAAGTCCCATAGACCATCTATTTTTAACATTGGCTAGAAACATCCATAAAAGGAGGCTATTTCAATTCCACAGCGCCGCCAAAAAGAATAACTATTTTTAAAATTCACCCTATAAATGTTCTGGCTCTAGTATACAAAACTAACAGAAAAAAAAATGTTGCTATCTCAAAAGACCATAGAGGATAACCTGTAACTAACCTCTGTATTTAAAATATATTTATTTTTAAGGATGTCACTATTTCATTTTACTTATGTATAAACTCCTTTGTAGATAAGATAAAGAGAACTTTTTATATAATATTCTCATTAACATTCAATCCAAATATACATTTATAATATTGCTTTTGACTCGATGCTTAACCAACCATATTGTTCAACACTCACATTTACATATTTTTAAAATGCATAAAGTCAACCCTATTACAATGACTATATTGGTGGCAGCAAAAGGATAAAAGATAATTCTTTCTATGACTGGAACATAATTATATTTCTAAAAGGACTGTATAGAAAATGAAAAATAATACAAATAAAATTTCTTAAATAACAGAATTACAGTAGACTTTATTTATACTTACATAAAAAATAAAGTTTACTAAAGTTGATCTTTCATATAATTGACTCTTTTCAATTTACCAATTTAGCCTTCCCACAGGAAATTTCATTACCATTCTTAACTCAATGCAAGTGCAGAAATCAGCACAAATTTTTGCTATTACCAGCATCTTATCTTATAATCAAAAAGAAACTTCAAGGTTAGGTATGTCATTAAAAAAACAGATATCTCATGCAATTACCAAAAACACTGGGTGGTTGGAACTTAGAAACTTTGGTATTCTCATTAAAGTATAAAACTATCATTCTTAAATATCTAGCATAAAAAGAAAATTATAAATAAAGATAGTTTTAAATTCAAAATTTAAAAATGGTATTCCTTTAAGGTTATGTAGCAAGCTCTGTATCATAATTTCTGAAAATGTCATTTCTTTGCTTTCTAAATTTTTACTGCTTTTCAAATAAAATATGATTTTGAATTTAAACTTCTTTAAGAAAGATAAATTTTCAAAAATCATTCCTTCAGAGAAAAGAAAGAAGAGTGGGTCTTTCTGCATAAACTGCACAAAAATGTGTTGACACATTCTCCTTGTATTAATCAAAAAAGTTTCTAGGTAAGGCAGAAATTATGTAAAAACTCAGTGTAAAGATAGTGTTGGAACTCAATTAGTGTTGCCAGATAAAATACTGAATGTTTACTAAAATTTCAATTTTAGATAAATAACAAATAATTTTAATATGTCCCAAGTATTACAAGAGACATACCTATGCCACAAAGTATTCACTGTTGGTGTAAAATTCAATTTATTGGGGTGCCTTGGGTGTCTTAGTTCTTTGTTTTTGTTTCATTTTGGTTTTGCTAAATCCGATCATCTTAGACCCAACTAAAAGCTGCATTAAGTCTTTAATAGCAGGCATTCATGTTTTGCAAATCCTGAGTATAAGGGATCATATTTAACCTGCAGAGTATTCTAATGACTGTTTACACACATATATATACATAATACGTATTATTTATACATATATACTATATATATACACATAAATATATTGTTAATAAGAGTTCGTTGAAATGAGCATTGCCATTTCTAAACCAATGGTACAACAAAATTCTCTCCCTGAACTTCCCAAATCACATATTTTGAAGAAAATATTTTTGTGATATTACTTTTATTGTTCTTCAACTGTGTGCCTGAGACATAATAAACAGTTCATGATACTTAAAATTCTTTGCAGAAAATGTGAATATATTAGGGAGAAAATGTCTCATCCATTACACAGAACACAAGAAATATGTTTTCCATCTTTAAAACGTAAAAATGTTTATTGAAAATGGTTTCAAGCTTACTTAAACAATCTTTAAAATCAACCTTTAATTTGAGAGTCTCAAAACATACTTTTCCTACTCTCAAAGTATTTTTACAAACATTCAGTAAAGTTATCGTGCTCTGGGGTTATACTGTTCTGTTCTAAAATAAATTTGCAAAGATTTATAGTTGATTATGAAATTTTGGAATGCATGCGCAAAATATGTAAAGACAGAATAGAGTGTGTTACAGACAGCTCTCCTATTTGTGCTACAATTTGTTAAACGGTTCTACTCCATTTAATGATTCAGTCATTTTAATTGAGTTAGCTGTATCCTCTTATTAAAATGACTTTGGCCATAAAATATTCAAATGTATGCATTATTTACGTAGTCAAAATGTATGAGATGAACTTAACTTGGGAATAGCTCATCAAGAGTGAGAAACATTTAGTAGAAAGTTTAATTTAATTAAATTTGAACCAAAGCCTTGAAACAACTGTAATTAAATATTTATTCTTTTGTCTTATCTACTGACATTTCTGTCACAAATAGAAAGTTTATTCCAAAAAAAGACCTATTCTCAGTTTTAAGTTATACATCAGAGTATTTCTGCTTTTCTTGTTGTGAAATATCTATTATAAATTTCAAAAAATAATATACAAAAATATACTAATATATCTACATAATATTAAAAATTATAGACTATTGAGAAATGAGACTAATTTCTTTGACAATAACACTGAATTAATATTTAAAATTCTTTCAAGAGGATAGTGTTCAAAAAAATCTGGCTACAAAAATGCTACATTTTGCCAAAAAAATATAATAAAGGACATGCTTACTCATGTGTATTTAGCTTTACTTTGCATCAATTGAAAATCAATTTACTAAATAGTTCTTCTATTTACTGGAATAGATGTTTTATCTTGATTTGAATGTATATCGATTGTGACTTAATGGCTACTAGTAGCTTGCATTTTACCAGCACAGTGCTGCTGCCAGCTGCTCAGACAAAGTGAGCATCAGTATGGGAAGCAAGAGGTGTGGCGGAGAAGGTAATGGGTGTTAGATGCACATTTAAAAGAAAAAAATATTTTGGTGTGAGTTTAAGAGTTGACATCATAGGCCAATTACACACATTATTTCGCTCATTTTTATAACAGAATTAATAGCACATAACAAAGCTTTTCTAAGAGAAGTAAATTAAGGAATACAAATTTTAAACTCTGACTAGATTTTGTGGATGACTGTGTCCATGTATTTGCAGACACATGTAACTTTTCCCAGAAATTTAAACACTTGCAAAATACTAATATTTATATGATGTGACTGCATCATACTCACTCTTTCACCAGGAGGGCCAGGAGGGCCATCACCACCTGAAGTGCCCTGGCAGGAACAACAACAACAAAACAGAAAAGAAAAATCAGTTTTGATTCCTTCTTCTGGTAACATCCGTCCTCTGGAAGAGGCCCTTACAGCAAAGCCCAAATGGAACAAATGCTGATGATACCTTGGGACCGGGTTTCCCAGTCGGACCCCTCGCACCTCTCGAACCTCGAGGACCCTGCACGTGAGCGCAAAGAGGAAACTGGTCTAGTTTCAAGCAGATCCAAAGCCACAGGATCAGTTTTCATTTCTGAGGAACATTATTTTGAAAAATTAAACCCAAAATGAAAAATGAAACTCATTATTTTAAATCAAGGAACCTACCGTTGGACCTCGCTGACCCCGAGGGCCTGGTTTGCCAGCAACGCCCTGCCAAGGACAGTTCAAACAGTTTCAGTATGAGGTAGATCACAGTAAATTGTGTCTGGTGCTGAGAGACAGGTACTCATGCAAGAATTATATTAGATAATCTGGAACAGCATACTTATATACCATACCCGTGCACCTTTCTCGCCATTGGCACCTGGAAACCCAGGAAATCCAGTGGAACCCTACAGAAGAAATAATAACAAGCCATGAATGTAGTAA